ATGATGACTTGTTGATTTTTCTGTGTTTTATTATCATTACTTTGCTAATTTGAAAATGATGGTACAGTAAACATTTCTGTACCATTTAACATTATTTTCGACAGAATAATACAGTTTTAGTTAAATATTTTGATTCAGCCAGCCCAGACAAACGTTTACCTACATGTACATGTAACACGTTTATACATGTAAACGGTACATGTACATGTACACTTTGCCATTGTGCAATCGAGTATTTAATCAGCAAATTAAAATCTGTTTCATTTATCACTTATCAGGGGAAAAATTACAATTTTATTTTCAGGGGCTGCTTTTCGCATCGCACTCCCTAAGTCTGCAACATTGAAACATAGAGTAAGGACACACTTGCTCTATGATTGAAATACATGTACATATGTAAGCTTTTACTCGGCTTTGTCAGTTTGTACCCCACATGGCTGTCTATGGTGGTTTTCTGGGGCTCTTTTTTTACAATCTGGGGCAAAATTGCCCAGAGCCTCCCTGTATTTTTTCCCTGCCACTTATTCCTTTGCACATAATTTGTCTTACAGCATCCATGACAAAATAACCGAACCAAAAAAACAAACAAGAAAACAAACAAAACAAACACTAGTATACGTTTCCAGAAACTTGTAAAGAAGGAGACGATGAACTATTATGAAGTCCTTTACGTTATAGTTGTAAAAAAGTTTGTAGATAAGTGCAGACAAGCTCTTCTACTGTAGATGTCATCATGTCAGCCCATCACTGCAGTGAAATACAGAGGCCTTTTATGGACCAATTTTGTAGAATTATTTCAAATTGATTGTGCAAGGAGAAATTTACTCAGTTCCATTCAAAGTTGCATTATCTTAGTCAAATTTTAAGGTGGGCCAATGAATTACTTTAAACACCATTAGATGTCTTTATTGATAAGCTTTCCAATAATACCTAAGTAATGTGGATACAACCCAAAACTATCAATTCATTATAGCTAGTTTGAGTGATTACTGTGAATCTACCATACACTATCAGAACTGGCAGAATGAAACTTTGTACCCTATTCCAATTAAATTGGCATGTCTCAGTTAATTTTAAAGGTAATGAGCTGATTTAAGTATAATCAGATTTCTCATTTCATAAGCTTTCGGGGATTGTAAATTTGGGGACCCTGTTCCTACAATAGAAGCTTTTTGAAAGCTCCAGTGTGACAGTAGGAAGAGCTACATTTTAACTTTTGAATTCACCTTGGGAGATGACTGTGACATCATGCTCAATGACTGTAGGGTTAATGTTGTAAAATGAGAGCAGGGTTTTGAGTTAAAATTTGAGGGGAAACTGATAGTGTTTTCAAGTGCCACATGGTGGATTCAAATTTGCATGGTTAGATTATCAGTAAGCAGTAGAGGCACAGATCATAATGCAGGGAATGTCCCTGAATGTGGAGAAGTTCCTTTATTTGGGGACAAAATCAGTCAGAGAACGTCCTGCTAAGTGGGGACAATTTTTTTCAAGTGGGCTTGGAGATCCTACCATTGCCCTGGCCTGGGGATTGTTTTATGCCCATAATTAGATTCAGCAGAAAAAAACACCCAAGGCTTCTGTTTGAAAAAAAATCTTACCAGCGTTTACTTCTAGGATTATGAGCAAGAGTGTGCAATTAAGCATAAAAGGAGGGGAAAAGATTGTATCGGAACAATTTTTCCAAATATCAATCCTTTACATATTTAATCGAGTGGCAGGGTGCAAAGTTCATAAAAAAACAATTTAAATATCTGAAATGAATGGAAAATGTGGAAAAAAAATGATAAAGGTGCGTGGATATTTTGGACCCAGGAACAATTGGCAATTGTGGGGGTGACTGGTGTTGTCAGGTAAGAAAGTCAAATTTTTCTTACAATTTACATTTTGAAATTTCCGAAGAATAGAGTCAGCGCAATAAAGAGATTGTTACCATGCATGGTTCCCTTTATTGTTTTGGGGGACTTGGTAGTTTTGCAAGATTAAAATGTCAAACAAAATTGGGGGGGGGGTTCCCCAATTAAGTATAAATCCCCAAGCTTTCAAATGTTGCCATTAAAATGCCAAGTTAGAAAGAAACTCAAAATGTCAATTTGTCATCCGTCCTGACTGTTTCCTTGCTCTATAGTTGAAAATTTAACTCCTCATCTTACCTTTTATTCTGGAACTTATAGCCAAATTTGTGCTAAGAAGCTCTTTCATCGACTTTCCAAGCAAACGAGTCATTTCTGCTTCACGTCCACTTTGAACATGGTAGGCCTAGATCAAAATTACAGAAACACAGTCATGGCCGGCAGTACATATGCAGTAGGACATTGCCCGGCGCGCCCCGGCTTGATCTTTTCGGATACTTTATGGAGGGCGCTATAAAGCCCATGCGCTAGAGCATCATGACCGTCATGCCCAGTGCGGTATCCGAAACTCAATGCACTGTGGGAAGGCAAATATGGCTGCGCCCATGGGGTGGATTCCAAATTTCCAGTTTTGCTGGGTGTCTGCTAAGCTATAAATACCTTATTCTTGATCACCATGAAACTTTTCAAGTTATGGGTGCATCAGAAAGGTTTCAGTGGTAAGGCAAATGATTGTAAAATAAACATAGAATGGGAACGAAGTGGTAAAAATTATACACTGAATGGTATTTCTCTTGAGCATGTTGAGCGTACAGAATCGGTAAGACTACTACTACTAAGAGATATTGGTGTTGATACATGTATTTCATTTTCTTTTATTTGGAATGATCATATCAGTCGAATTATAGGTAAATGTAACCAGAAAATGGCTCTGTAGAGGTGCTGGTCAACTGTACCATCTTGCCTTTCACTAGCTTTATAGTATGTTGTTTTCTATACCTGTCATCTGATTGTTGTGTCATGTCAAATGTTTTATGTATATGTTTTTAATGTATTAATCTTTTTGTCTTGTTTTACAATAGCCAGTGGAAAAGTGTAATAAAATAAAATAAAATAAAATACAATAAACAAAACAAAACATTTTTAGGTCCAGCTTCCACACGCGCTGCTGCACCGACCACAGGCCTACCATAACTGATGTTCTGACGTTAGGCCCATGTGATTTGCAAGTACATGTACGTACATGTAGGCCTACGTGTACATGTAACCATTGCACACATACATGTACATGTACTGATGTAGGCCAATGCCCATTGACCATTCTCGTGGTCGGAGGTTGTTCTACATTAATGTATTTGTTGCACTCGCGTCTGGGCAAAGCCTTAAGGGCAACTCTCCATTCACTTATGATGTAGGCCCCTAGGCTACAGTCATGACAGTACTGGGATTAGTATGTTTTCCTCCTTTTTGTTGCATCATGATAAAAATAATTGAAACCTTTTGGTACAGTGTGGGAGATATTCATACTAATTATTAAGCATATAACAGTGAAATTTCGGGCATGTCTGATGTACATGTAAAGCCTTTACATACATGTACATATAAGAATTTAATCAGTAGACCTAATTCAGATTGTCCCCATAGACCATGTAGACTGCAACCCTATTTTTGCCCTTTTGAGTTTTGAGTGTGACACATGGAAAAGCCACCAACTGACCAATCAGAGAGAAGAATCAGTGATATCATTCCGACCGTGAGAATTACCAATGATGATGACCGGCACCAGCTGGTCGGTGAGCATGACGTGGTGCGGTCCCCAACGTGGTACACTGTGAGCTAGTTTCTTATTGCCTTGGAGTCGGACAAAGTTGGAATAATACTTTCACTTCAAAATAAAAATGTCATTAAAGGTGAAATTATTCAAAGTCCAAATTCGTCAGTGTTCATAATTTTCAATTAGGCCTAGAGCTCGATTTTGTCCAATGTGGGACAATTTACCAATTTTTATCCCAAAGTACAAAATGAACTCTTAAAATGCACCCATAGGCCTAGAAAGAATTTTCAGCAAACTTGCTTTTGTAGATGGATATTTATGAGGCAGTGCGAACATCCGGGAGTTTCACAAAATTGTGGGTGGCAACCACTCTGCGCCGATGAAAACATTTGCAATGAGCGTGCGTGTACGTGTACATACATGTACATGTACTGATCAAAGAAAAGATTGTGTAACCCGATCCTCATACCTCTGACTGACTGGTGCATGTGTATGTTGCCATGGTCGCTGTTTTCACTGGTGTGGTACAGTACTTGCCATTTTGGGAGAATTCCGGATGTCCGTGCTGCCCCATACATACAGTGTTTAAGTGGGATTTTCTTGGATTTTTTTCAATTGAGCCGCGTTAGGGGACGCTCAGCTGAAATCTTTCCCATTTTCTGGATACTGCAGTTTTTGAATTTTAGACGCCTTTTTTTGACATTGGAATCGTTCACAAAGGTTCAACAGCCTGTATGAACAAACCCAGTGGATGTTTTCAACAATATACCATGTCCATTCATTCATTTTTTACTGTTTCCACATTAGATAACAGACTGTATAAACATAAATATTGATGTATTATTTACATCAGTAGTATCCCTTAATTTACTGATTTGGAACCCGTAAGATAGCCTGACAAATGAGATATATCTACAGGAGATGTGATGTGGAAGGGGATCAGCAAGAAGCAAGGCTTGTCGAGCAGGGATCCCCTCACTAAAGATGTTAGATTTAGGTAGTTGAAACCATGATAAGTAACAAAATTAACATACAAATGACACTTAAATGCCACTGTATCCGGGATTACAGGAATTAGGGGTTGTACAGACTGGTAATCCATTAGAATAATTACTCAGAGCTTAAATAATTGGATAGAAGGAAGATCTTCAGCTTCAATGTACACACTGGAAGGCTATGAAAGTTGGTCAGTGAACTACATGTATATTGTAAACTTGTACATGTAATTCCGGAGCTTGGGGCCTTCATGTCAAATTGTCTTATGAAATGCCGTACTGGTTCCTGCATAGTAACTATGAAATTCTTTACACTGCCAGGTGAAATAATGGTTAATGTCTTCACTTCGACAAAATACCTGTTTAATAGAATTTGAAAGTATGGTATTGTTTAAATGATGTAAAAAGGCTCCAAATGAAGAGAGTAGATATCTTGATCTTTGAGTCTTATGTTTACAGAAAAGTAAATTTTAGTAAATTTTAGACAATGATAATAAAGTGCATGTATATTTATGTTATCAATATAGACAGAGGAAACCCTGTTTTGCTACTGAACAACATACATGTACATGTACATATAATAACTACCGAAAATGGGTCACTTGGGAGACATTCCCATAGGAACGTGCACCAAGTTTTTTTAAACTTTACCTTCCCATAATTCAATATTCCCTCGTCCTATCTTAGCCAAATTGTGCATGTTTTCCTTTCAGACCCTAATTTATCGTCTCTCAAAATGTGGACAGTAAAAATTTTCCTCCTTTTGGTAGTTGGAGCATTAGGGAGACATTGAAATGTCTCCCTAATGACTGATGTCTCCTAATGTTTAAAATTAACCACAAAATGTCTCCCAAGTGACCCATTTGGAAATAAAGTTTTCTTGATGCTGAGGGATAACGTATTTGCTTTAAGCCATTCAGATACTGGTAGTTTAAGTAATTCTCGATAATTTACCAAAGTGGCGAGCTTGTTGATATCATTGTGTCTAAGAAAATGTTACTATCATCAGCAAACATACTAAACGAGAACAAATTGGAGGAATTACTAAAATCATTTACACACACGTACACGTATGTAGAGGGAAGACAGGAGAGGACCAAGTATTGATCCATGAGGAACACCATCAGATATTTTGTTCAGAGAGGACTGATATTCCTCAAGATATACATAGGTATGTGTGTACATGTACCGTTCCTCTACCAGTACATTTTCAATCCTATTCTGTGGTTACTTTTAATTGATGGCTGCAACACAAAGACCATTTTTGCCTTTATTGCAGAAGATGAATTGGTTATCAATCCAAAAGAATTCCCAGATGTTGAGATTGGAGATATTTTGGAGATATTTCACCCTGATGAGGATAGCAGGTAATTAAATGAGGTTCACCTTACAAAAATCAAAGTGTGCTTTGCAAGATGCTGGTAGTAAAACAAAATCATCCACCAAAATTCTGGGATTTCATCCAAATGAAGTAGCATTACTTACATGTACCTGTAAGTCACAATCCCCAGGTTGCTTGCAGTATGTTTTGGAGAGCTTTTCCCTTGGGCATATCAATTGGTAATTTTTGTCAGTCAGTCGTAGCACCCATAAAGCAGTTTCATGCTGTGTCGTTAGAGCTGCTTGCTCGAGGCAAACAGGAAGTTGTTAATGTACATGAGATGTACATGTACCTTCTACCGGTACATGTACATGTATATTGTTTGACAAATGAAATTTCATTTCATTTCTATCAAATGTCAGTTTTCAATCAGCATCGTATTCATCTCTATCCCTAGGCATCAGAACTTACAAAAGTTGGAAGACATCTTCATTCAGTGTAAAGCTTCTTCTTCATTGTCATTAAGTTCGTTTGTCTTGAAATGGATAGGGACATTGATGATAGATTGTTTCAAAGTACAAGATAGTAACCTGATGTATCATGGTGCACAACTTATGGTCTGACAGTGAAGCAATTGTCTGTGTCATTTCGTATTCATTCTAGTCATCTCTTACTGCAAGTGAAGTCATTACAAACGGATCTGCAGCAGAAAGGAAAAGGTACAATGTACATGTAGATTTTGTATTGAGTGTTAATTCTTGTCTTTTTAGTTCAGGTGTTAATTGGTACACATATGCTTCAGAAATGCTGAAAATGGACATTTCTTCATCAGAACTATCTGTCCTGAGCAGGAGCACCCCCTCGTTGTTTGAAAAAAGCCATGTGGGTTGGTAGGGCTCATGTTGGTAGCGATGCGACTGCAGTGCCTGTGTTCTTAGTCAGTTGTGAACTAACAATGCACATTTACACATGTATTACCAAAGATACATGTAGGTACATGTACTTTATTGTCAATATAATTTCCTTTTCTTCGCGCTGCCAGGTTTACATGTAGCTCAGGGTTATTCAAGATTTTAGCTTTTTTTATCTTTATTTTCTTGTCTGGACCCAGGTAGCTTTGTGTCCAATTTCTAGTTTGTAATTTATTCATAGTAATGGATGTTTCAGCCTGAAAGCTTTAATAGGTTATGCAAATGATAACCCTTTGGAATTATTGCTCTTCTGCCTCCAGATATCATCAGTGTTGATCAAACAATAGCAAATCTCTTCCAATTACGAGCTTACAAGGATGTGGAGGTTTGTCGAGTCCCTTCTGCCCAAGATGTCTGTCTGGATCTGGTTGAGTTGGTCTTTAAAGATCAATACATCAGCCGGAGTGATATGTGGAGACTCAAGAACAGCTTGGTAAACTAAACGATTACTACCCACTACATCGTTGTCATTTGTTAAATCAGATGAAGTAATATAGAAATTATTTATATATTTCCACTGGTAATTTTCTGGGGGGGGGTTACATTTCTCATCTTTTTTTGCCTGCACTATAGCCATATTTTCTGGAGAGATGAAAAGATATAAGTGAACTGTTAATTAATTTTTTGGACAAATTTTTGGGAATTAACAAGTAAACTTCATACTCTGTCAGTTACTGCATTGGACCATTTTGGACACCAGCAAACCATCAAGTGATACATATCAAGAGAAGTTGTGACTAAGTGTCTTTGTTGAGAACATACATGTACAAACTATGAAGTACCCGGCTTGACTGGCCTTTTTGAGGCAGACCTTACTGGTTGAATTGTTTATTATTGGAGACTTGCATGTAATTTGTTGGCTTCAGCAATTTTATTTTCCCCTTTAGATTGGTTCCTGTGCTTACCTATCCAAGAAAGTGGAATATTCTGGTATCCGAGCCCAGGTCAATGAACTCTGGGCCCGGGGTGAGAAGGTCATGTGTGGTTCTGTTTCGGAGGATACCCGCGTTGCATTCCGATCATCCACTGCTATGGTTTACATGTTTATCCAGATGAGCTCTGAAATGTGGGAATTTGATGCAAATGGTGAGTTGGATTTCAATTGTTTAAAACATATTTTTGGTTCAAACCCTTTAAAGACTGATCTGTTTCTCTTAAAAATGTTATAATTTTTGTATATTTTTGTGTGAAGACTTCATGCAAATACACAGAGACTGGCTTTTTGACAAAAGCCACATTCCTCCATTCCTACATGAACATGAACAGTAGTTATTGGTAAGATGTTCCAATAGAATTAGTGTGAGGTATATGGATGCATTGTGGAAAACTGAAACAAGACTGGTACAAAATCTACGCTGCAACTTTTCCTCTAATATTATGATTTCTTTCACTTTTATTTTACTCCTTAACAAGCTCAAAGAGGTGTGGATATATCACCGGAATTGTTTTCAAACTATTATTATTTGTTTGGCAGGTATTTGCACTAAATTATCAGATGTGATAGAGATAGGAAAAAATGGACCCCCAATATATTTCAGAAATGAAAAAAAAATAAAGATATGAAAATATATCAGCTGAGTACAAGGATGTTAAATGTTCCCATTCCTCTATGGTCTTACCTACCACATAGAAAAGTTGAAATGCTAGGAAGATACATGCATGGGTACCTTACCCTATTGGTTGAGATTGCAGCAAATCAGAAAAACTGAGATAGCAGAAATACTTGTAACTTGATTGATTGTTCAGAATATCTTTCTTCTGTCTCTGGCCAAAGTTCAGGATTTGAAAACAAACTCTGAAGTATGTTGCTTCTGCTTGTCAAATTTTGTTTGAAAATGAAAGTCTGTGTAGTAGATGTATTAAGTCTGAAAGGCCTTGTCAGAATTCCTGATATTAGACAAACACTGCAGCAAATGAAAAGATTCTACATCCCCTAAAAATGCTTTCTGAGGACATCCTAGATGAAATGACATTGCACTCGGGACAGTTACCATAGAAATGCTATATGCACTTGAAGGATGTTATGCTTTGACATAATTAATCCAAGGTAACTTACATTCTTATGGGATGGATTTTTACAAATGGAGTTTGGAATGTACAATGGTCATATTTATAACTATATCCCACAATTCAAAACAAAGTCTCGATGCCCATCTTGAATAATTTTGTTTTTGTTTGTGTTAGAAGTCTTGAGCACCCTGAGCTCTTTGTACTTTTACATGTACACATAAGATGTATCATTCAGTTTTTGCACCCTGATCCAAGTCCACATTATGTCATGTACACCATGCATATGAGGGTGAAAAATCTTGATTGTTCATTTCAATTTACATTGTGCACAATTTTTTAAACTGTTACCATCGGATTTTCTTGCCCAAAAAGCTGCAGGGGCAAGTTTTTTACCCGCAAACTCTTCAAGCTTTCAATTGTGCCTTGACCCAGCCAAGCATGACGTGTCAACCGAAGAAATGGAAAAAATTTTTTAAATAAGTGTACACGTCCTCAGTGGAACAAATGAGGAAAATGCTAGTGTGTTTACACATGATCCAGTGTCAAATGAGGCCGTTGACTCAAAGTACATGTAGTTCAGGTGACTTTCAAATTATTTTGTTTAGTAGGGTCCCTTTTTCTTTGATCTTCATTTCTTTCTCACACAACTTTAAATTTCTGAAATATTTTTCTTAATATTTAATTTCTTTTAAAACTTTTGCACATTGTGATTTAAGGAATTTAACTCTTATATTGACTTGATTGAGATTTTTGCGTATACCGTACTGCCATGAAATCTTAAATTTGTCAGATTAATAGCTCCTGCAGTTCCTGGGGAGGTGTCTTAAGACTACTGTATATTATGTATCCATCATGGCAGATTTGTGCTTTGAAAAATGCTGCACATTTTAATCAAATAATGTAAAGATGATTAAAGAGTAATACATGTTTTTTTCAAATTTCAGTTTCATGCTTCAGTCCCTTAGAGAACTGCAAAATTTCGTTTAAATCTGTTCATTAGTGATAACCACTTCATGCTGGGGTATTTCTCAATGTTGATGATGCTGGGCCGGCATGACTATCATTTTTTCTGTTTTCAAAATCCTTCAAAAATTCATCATTTCATTTAACGGTCATTTGTAGCCGCACCAAGTAATCTTTAGGCACTACTCTAAGTTGACAGGTGACCTTCATTGACACCCGAGTATTTCAGCCAGGTCAGCAGCCTTGTAAACAGAGCCCAGATTGTACGGTGTTGTATAACTGTCTTTTGTTCACGAACCTGGCTTAGTGCACTGCTAACCTCTTTTCAATAGGGGCCAGATTAGCGTGCAGCTGTGCTGTGTGGCTCATTGCTGCTTCGGTGGAGCGCTTTTGTCCCCGGTGCCCCAAACCCTGGTATATGGTTTCAAAACAAGGCTGGATTATCACCACTTTTTAGAGTAAAAAATGTCAGTAATGCCCAGCAGCCTGGTCTTTTGTTCGGAGTACCGTCTTTTGTTATAAGGCTCTGTTTCCTTTGTCCGAGTTCGGAGACCCCGGCCACCCATATAATCCATAGTCTCCGATCCCGGAGTCCCCAACAGGAAGTGGTTAAAGAGGTTTTTATGTCTGGTTTCCCCAGAATATCTTGATACCTTGTCATTTGAGTTAACCCACACATCACTACTGTCTATCTTGAAGTTAACATTTACTGTACATAAAATGCACCTGGAGTATTAAAGACTATGAGCTTCAGGTAGAAAAAACCTTGGTAGATGAAACAGACGTGAGCACATTCAAGAGGAATTGCTATGGATCTTAAATGTCATAGGGCCATTGTGGGAGGCTTTTGAAAATGCTGTTTTGTAACACACTATGAAATACATGTACAATGGAACAAAAACACTGCTATGTAAAATGATCACTTCTTATGATCTTTATCCAGCAGTAATATTTTGGTAGTCCACAGGCAAAACAGTTATTACAATTCCAAATACAGTGTATATTGGTACGTGTATGTCATCTTTGATAACCCCAGCATAGCATACCAATACTATCCCTGTGGTTGACTCGTAGACAGGATTTGATATCTTTGGCTGTGTTCCATACTCATGGGTACTGGAGAATGTTGCGTGTGGATTACACTAGGGTCACTTCACGTTAACATCCAACATTTACCTTTTTTGCCATCTTAAAATAACCATGTGATGCAACAGTATGCTCAGTACGACTGAGAGTACTGAGTACTCAGTACGACTGAGAGTCCTGAGTACTCAGTGAAAATTGAGAGAACTGAGTCCTCGGTACGACTGAGAGTACTGAGTACTCAGTACGACTGAGAGAACTGAGTACTCAGTAGGACTGAGAGTACTGAGTACTCAGTACGACTGAGAGAACTGAGTCCTCAGTACGACTGAGAGTACTGAGTGCTCAGTACGACTGAGAGAACTGAGTGCTCAGTACGACTGAGAGAACTGAGTACTCAGTAGGACTGAGAGAACTGAGTACTCAGTAGGACTGAGAGAACTGAGTA